ATAAATACCTCAAATCTTTTTGTTAACCAAGTAGATTTGGAATGTTTCTGATTTTGCAAGTAGAAGTGGGATGCATGGCGCGCGAGTCCTGTGATTGCGTGGCGTTGCCACTCACGGATATAGGATTGGCGTACTAACGAAAAATTAGTAATTCGAACCATTTCATACCCTATAAGTAAAATATTTGCTTGCAAAATTGGCTATTCCTTAGCTTCGAAGAACTTTTCGGATGCTTGTTAGGTGCTGTTCCGGAGGTTGAAGCGAAGTATGTACGTACTGAATCGCCCTTGGTTGGACATACTGTCTGTGTACTGTATGGGACCGATGAACGTCTACGAAAACGACTCATGGAAATTCTGAAGAAGTTTGGAGCAAACGTTGTCGCCAATCCTGGTTTGTTTTTGTTTTCCGCCATAGAAAACAGCTGTTTGTAGTACTGTTTGTTTGTTTATTTCTGTTTAATGAAACAGACTAACAAAAATTATTGATCGGATTAAAGTGGATGGAATGAGTTTGGTAGTGGCAACAACGGACAAACACCTCAAAACTCGGACTCAAATCGAAGCCGGTAAAGCGACAGTCGTCCGTGGTAAATGGGTGCTGAGATGTGAGGAGCAGGGTGAAGTGGTTCCTTGGTAAGCTTCTTAATCAATTTTGTTTATTTGTTGTCGGATTGGATGACCCTCCAGGTGAGATACGCTTTGGCCCAGACCTCTCAAAATCTCTTACTCAGTAATGGCATGGCTTGAATAGCAAAAAGCTTGGATACTTCTCGTTTTACTGGCATTTAACTACTTGTCAAGTACGTTCTGGCGAGGCAGCTGGACTTGTGGATTTAGGCCCCTCCTTACTACATAAATTTCCTGATCCCCTATGTAGTTCTTCATCTTTGGGATGAGAATGGGGTTTGGTTCGGGGGCGAAACAGTTGTTAGTTATTGTTACGGCGCGTAAATCAAATTGCTGACCCTCGATAAGACACATAGCGATTATCTTTACGACGTGTATATCGTAGATATATCGCCTTAGCGACAGCACAAAGAGACCTCGATGAACAGGTGGGCTGGTTGGTTGCAGAATTCCAAGGCGAATTCGTTCCTCTTTGGAAACTTCGATGGAGTAGCGTTCGTGGCAATGGGTACAGTGTAGTCTTTGAAGTTTGAAAAGTCATCTTTGGAGGGGACAAGGAGTGTACCTGCCTATAGCTACGCAGAAGTCGGTGATACTCCCAATAGGTAGTACAGTTGAATTGAGGGTAAAGGGAAAATGGTTTCGGTTTTCTCAAAACTTATTTCCCTTTCATTTTAATGAGGCTTGTAGCATTTGGAAATACCATTTCTCCGGATCTTTAACCGGTCGTTCATTGTGAAGTGAGCATATTTTGATCCTTACTGACAGTGAAATCGGAGATTGAAGGAGCGTTCTTTTGAAGTGGAACGGTTAAGTCCGTCTGCTTGCAATCCTTAGGACGGGCCACCCTCTAATTGAAGTCTTTATCGGAGACCTTCAGGAATATGTGTACTTATTTTTTCATG